TGCTAATTTCCTAGTTTATAACTAGTGACAGAACAGTTAATTTGCTGGAAAACAAGGTGACTAAAACTAAAAGTCAGTTTGAGGGGGTCCCTTTTGTATGGGCCCTTCAGTTTGACGAGCCAGAATATAAAGAAACTCAAAAAGAGATGAGAAACAAAGTAACTGACCTCTATCAGTCTGTCTGTCATCTAGTATCATCTGTCAATCTGTCGTCTATCATAGAAGGTTACACAGCCATGTCTAAGGCTTTTTGAGATTCCAGTGAATAATAATAACTTTATTTATGAACAAGTGAGTCTTCAGCTTAGCTTTAAAAACCTCCACAGAGCATGCCTGCCTAATATCTTGAGGGAGGTTGTTCCACAAAAATGGGGCACAAAAAGAAAAAGCACGTTCCCCGATAGTTTTTTTTTTTCTGGCTCTAGGAACTTTTAAAAGGCCAGAATCCTGGGATGAGAGCACGGGAGGGAAAATAAGGGTGCAAAAGACCAGAGAGGTATGAAGGTGCCAAACCATTTAAAGCCTTGTAGGTGAGCAGCAGGACTTTAACATCTGCTTGAACCTGACAAGGTAGCCGATGAAGGGATTTCAGTACAGGGGTAATGTGCTCAAATTTTCCAGACAGGTAAGATCTCAGCCAAGATAAAACATTTCCTATAACTCCAATAAAATGTTCAAGCCTATCCAATAAAATGCAGTGATCCACAGTGTCAAACGCAGCACTTAGATCCAGCAGTAATAAAACTGAAGTGCAATCATTGTCTGCATTTACCAACAGATCGTTTACCATTACCATTTTGACTGAAGCTGTTTCTGTGGAGTGATTTGGTCTAAAAGCAGACTGAAATGTTTGTTAGTTGACAGATGCTCAGTGAGCTGCTTAAAACAACTTTTTCAAAGACCTTAGACAAAAAAGACAGATGTGAGATGGGTCTATAGTTTGCAACCATGTCAATGTCCAGTCCAGGCTTTTTCAAGATTGGCACTACCACAGCTGATTTAAAACAGGCAGGGAAGACTCCGGTCATCAATGAAGTATTTAAAAGAAACAGAATGTAAGGTCCTAATGCTGACCACAACTCCTTTATAGCCCAGGCTGGTAGAGGATCCAAAGAACAGGTTGTACATCGAGCTGCTTGTACAGCCTTAGTTAATCCAGACAGAGAAATAACCTTGAAGTCAGAGAACAGTTTACTCCCTCCTCAAGCTGTTCGTCAGACTACTCAGCTGCTTTGCTTGTTGGTGCTGATGATCTGATTCCTAAGTGTTGCAGCCCTGTCTCTGAAAACATAAGAAAGTCATGAGCTGTCAAATTTGAACAGCAGAGCTGACTTAGTCTCTGTAATTTGCGACACTGTGTTGAATAAAAGTTTTGAGATATGTTTATGAGTCATGATGAGATTTCAGAAACAATTTGCTTTCGCTGCAGACATCGAACATTGAAAAAAAGACAATCGGTCTTTCCGAGCCTGGAAAAATACTTCAAGTCTGAAAGATCACTAGCGACGCTCTGCTTTTCTACAATTTCTTCTCAAATTCGAGAGCTCCTCATTTAGCCAAGGCATAGGGTTCCTTTTTCTGACATTTTAACTTCTTTACAGGAGCAACAGAGTCCAACAGTTAAAGATGTGTATTATTAAGGTTTGCAGTCAAAGTGTCCACACATAACTCATGGGGAAAAATGGGGTCCAACACATCAGGCAAATTTAATTTAACTCCAAGCAATGCTTCGTGGCTAATATGATGAGATGATCTGAGGGGCAGTTTCCCCTCTCAGAAGCTGGAAATTTAGCGATTCAAATATCAAATAAAATTACTGAATGGTCTAAAATAAGTAAAACACAATTTTCAGTCACTGATACATTCAGTCCATAACCCAAGACAAGGTCTAGGGTGTGGCCCTTACGTGTTGGCCCAGACACAAATTGTGTGAAGTTTAGGGAATCAATTCAAGAAATCCTTGACCAGGGGTTTATCCTCACAACATAGATGTACATTAAAGTCCCCTACTATAAGGATCCTTTCATAGTGAGCGATAAAACATGTCAAGAAGTCTGAAAACTCTGAAATGAACAAGTCATTATATTTAGGTGGACGATAGACGACTATAATTAGTACCACGGGACAGCTTAAAGTCAGGAGATGGGTAAGGGCCATTACTCATAAATGAAAAAAAACATAGAACACCTGTGAAGCTTCTCAGGAGTGGCCAGCCTACCAAAATTACACCAAGAGAGCCTCGACATCTCAAATACTTCTTTGTACCCAAAGCTAATACTGGGATGTCTGGTATGCACTGCTGCAGTTCACTTTCTTGGCTGTGGGAAGTTACTGAGCAATTATGCTCCAAGTGTAGCCTTTTACTAGGCCTGGCAACCTTGTCGGTTTGAGAACCACAACTAACTTTTCTCAAAGCAGGCCCTTTTTGCTTTGAGTGGGCTCTCTGTTTGAGTTTCAACTTCAAACAGTTAGCAACGAGGTGTCCAGGTTTGTGGGAGAAGAAACAAAGCTTCGTTTTGGGTCTCGAAACCGCAACTTTTTCAGCCTTGTTAGCTGGCCCACTCTTACCTCGCCAAGATGTACTATGGCACAGAGGGGTATCACATTCTACAGCATTTATTTTATGACTTAGGGTGAACTTATCTGCCAGTGTGGCAGCCTGCTTTAATGTGGAAACCCTTTGTTCACTTAAATAAAGAGCAATACACTCAGGAACAGAGTTTTTAAAATCCTCCACAAGCATGAGCTCACGTAACGACCCCAAATTGTTAACCTGCCTTGCAGAGCACCACCTATCAAAAAGCCTTGCCTTCTCCCAAGCAAAGTCAAGGTAGGACTGACCCTGTGCCAACTCCAAACCTCAAAAATTCTGCCTATAAGCCGCAGGTACAAGTTCATAGGCTTGGAGGACGGCACTTTTAATATTTTCATAAACTAGGCTGTCCTGCCTAGACAGACCAGAACAAGCTTCCTGAGCCATACCCGTGAATTTACACAGCAACATCACCCCCCACACGTCTTCAGGCCACTGTAATGCAGTTGCTATTCTTTCAAACACACCGAAGAAGCTCTCAACACTGGATTCACAGAAAACGGGAACCAGGTGGATGTTATTGCTTACAAACGAGCTTCTAGACAACTGTGCACTGATAGCTGCATCATCCATCTTGGGGGCCGGAGAAGGGTTAGAAAACACACCCCAATTAAGACACAACCACACCTCTCTGCCAACTCACTCAGAGACTACCCAATAATTAACCGATTAATGGAAAACTACACAACTTACTTTAACTGACCGACTTACCTCTTGCAGTATACACATTAAACAAACACAACTTACCCAGTTCCTAAGCACAACAAACTTTACCTACCCATCTTCTGGAGCGGGCCGGGCTCGAGGCAACTTGAAAGGCAGAACTTCAGCGACCGGAGCCCTGAATTGCCTACCCCCAACAGGGAACTAATCCCCGCCCAGGATTACTCCGAAAATAAAAAAAGGCAAAATAACAAAAGAGTACCCGAAGGAAGAACTTAATAAGCTCAGCTGGACACTCACCTAACTTAACTGGGAAGTTGAATCTCTAAAGGTGAAAAAAGCAAGATAATCAAAAACCAATTCCAACTCAAAACTCCCTTTTCAACTATCCCGGACGAGCCCCCACTTGTTA